ACACTTCCCGGGTGGAGAGAGGCACTGTGAGTGGTTCCGCGACATCATCTGTGAACTATTACTGAACAGACGCACGGCCACATGGAATCTTTCAGTTACTCAGAAAAGCGTTGTATCTGAGTAGTTTCTTTAAGGTTTCTGAGGTCGCTAAATGCATTGCCACTTTCAAAAATTACACATTTTACCTTTCTTGTCAGCTCCCCAATAATTCCAGTCCAAGTACCATGACGATGCTCACCAAGGTTATTTCTGAGTTCCAGATCATATTCAAATTGTAATTTCTTTTTCAGCTCGTTCAACAAGTCAATACAGAATCCCTCGTAGTCCAAATCTGAATTTTTGTCCGTGGAGTTTTCTTTTTTCATTACGAACGGCGGACTCTGAAGAGAACATTTCATTTCAGGACCGGTTATTAATTTTCGCCTGGGAAGCGAGGTCTTGTTTGTGTCACGACAAAATTTACCCCTCCCCCCATATCTCATATCTTATGAATCCCGTCTCCGTTCCCCCTAAAAACCATGTGCCAACCCCCTCCCCCCCCCAAAAAAAAAATTTTGTCACCCTCCCGAGTCAATGAATAATGACTGTACCAAGTTGGGTAAAATAACCGTTTGTTGTGCAACTATGTTGAGCTCAGTTTCCATTCACCCGTAACGATCCTCGTGCCTCAAGTTCGTAGTTGTCCAAAATATTTATGCATTTAGACATCGAAACAATTGGCACGATTTTTTTTTTTAAACTGGACAATTAGCTAGGACCTTCTTCTATGCAGAGGAAACAAGCGGTCGTATTTGACTGGGACATTTTAGAGGCTGCCTCAGTAGTTTTGAATAAAGTCTTTTCGATCTTACAGATTTTTTTCAAATTTCTTTTTCTGCATATTAGTTTTCTTGACATGATGATCGGTACAATGAAATGGAAACTAGGCTTGAAGAAAATGTAAGATATGACTTTATTTATAACAACAGGTGTAAATAAGCCGCACCAGGTGAGATGGAAGGGACTTCATGTTCTGTAAGTTTTGTTTTCTTTTTTTGTATGTCTGTTTTTTTTTTTCTTTTTACGAGGTATTAACTAATCGAAAAAAAATAGACATCATCAGGAGCTCGAAATGCCAAGAGAAAAGAAATACATTTCGAAATATTGAGGAATTTTAACAGACTGAAATTAAATCGCTAAAAAGTGCGCCTCAATTTCAAGTTCAACGAGGAACAGAGTTGTAAACCAAACTCGAGCTAAAAAGGCCATAGAATTCTATTAAAAAGAAAACTAGGCTACTTTGAATGTTATTTACCATACCAGGGCGATGAGCACTTTGATTCTGCTGTACTTCAGCTCAAGACTAGCCAGCTTTGGTACATCGAGGTTACCATCTAACCAAACTATCGGTCTCTTTCTGTTCATTTTTAAGGCTGGTAAGCGATTCCATTCAAAATCTCCTACCTGACAGTTTCAGAAAAAAGAAATCAGGTATCAATATGCGACCTAACTGAAAGTCTCCCACCTGACGAATTAAGAAAAATGAAATCAAATATCAATAAACTGAGAAGAAGTATGCTTCGCAAACCATGACATTTTCATTAAAAGGCTTATATCAAATTTTACTGCTCATTGCATTTTGAGATTCCAAACATTGTCCTACCCGTTTAAATACTTTCTTCAGATGAAATAAAATTTTAAATCGATTTAGTAACCTGGCGGCACAAGCCAGAATGGCGTGAATCACAACACGCGGTTCCCAAGCAGCTGCTGCTCTTGTTATTGCAAAAACAAATAATGAGAAATCATGACTCATTCTTTGAGTTACTAATGCTATTTCTTAGCTTTTGACTGTTATATCAGATCCCTAAGAAATGGGAAATAGAAGAGTGAGATTTCTTTGCATCACAAAGCCGGCCGCAAGGTAGGCAAGATTCAAAATGGCGACGTTCAATGTCGAATTTCTTCCCGGCAAATTTAAATACGATACAATGAAAGTTAAGTTATTCTTAAATTTTGAAAACTGGCCATTGTCATTATCTCATAAATAATATTTAATATACTTGAGTGACATTTGACCTAGGATTGTTACTTCGCACATGTTGTGGTAGACTCAAAGAAAAATAACTCAATGAATGAAGGAAAGTTCAGTTGGAAATTTGTTAGAAACTAGGGCGGAAAGTCTTGAATTTGTACGGAGATCATCAAGAATAAAGTCTTGTGGAAATCTAGAGGAGTTATTCTTTCCTTTTCTACAAAAGGAAAAGAAAGACCTGGACCAATCATAAGTTGAATTAACAATTCCTGTAAAATAATTAAATTCAAATAACAACGGTCAAATCATAATATACACAATAACAATAGTATTTAATAGCAGAGATAGGAAAATTATATGATTTTGAAGCACATTTCCCTCCAATATTCAAATAGCGCCGGAAGACGCATAATCTTAAAATTTAAATGTTAGTTACCAAGAGAAGGTCAAGCTTTTGGGATTAAAACACAGCTAAAAGAAAAATCAGCTGTTCGAGCCAATAAAGTTACCAAGAGTCTGGAGGCAACATGGGCAATAACAAGTAGGAGACGGACCATTATTTTTCTAGAGGGGGGTATGAGAAATTTTCTTCTGCAAACATGTCTTTTTTTTTTTAACATATACGTCTCCGCAAACATTTTTTTCAACATCATCTTCGTGCCTGCGAACCGATTGTTTTTAATTTTTTTTCGGTGTTCTTTTTATATGTGCTAAATATTACCATTGCCCTATTGAACTATTTCACGAGAAATATGAGGAATAGTGCTATAACCCCTTATTTTATCGATATACTTTGGTGATGATATTTTTTAATATCTTACCTGACTTCTCTGCAAACATTTTTTTTTCATCCTACCACGTTTGAAAACAACTTATTTCGTCTTTTCAGACCCTGCAAACAAGTTTTTTCAATATTTCTCGTACCTTCCCCCCTCCAGAAAAATGATGGTCCGTCCCTAAGCACCCCCCACGCTACCCCCCTCCTTTGAGGTAATACTGTACCTCAACCCATCCGTCATCAGCCTGGTAATTAACCACATCGTACACGGTTTCTCTTGGTGATCCAGTCCTGCGACTGAACCTGATATCGCTCATAACTCCAGGAATATTTACCTTAAAGAAAGAAGGAAAGAAAATCACTTTTAAGTCTAATAATGCAACAAACCAATGTATAAAAACCTCTCCGGCATTGGTCAGACAACGATAAACGACAGGCACGCAAATAGCAGAGGCGAAAATCGAGTTGAGAAGGCTAAGGTTTCAATTATTATATAGAGTCTGGCTGGCTTCTCTAGAAATAAACGTCTCCTAAAAAGAGAGCCAAAAATCCTTTGGAAGAGTAGCATTAATTGAAATATCACAGATAACTTCTGCAAACTTTCAGACATGGCCATCGACACTTCCTTTCCCTTCCAACAATTAGATTTTAGTTCATACCTCAATAACTCTATCTAGTTGTTCCGTGAGGTATAGATATTCAAATTGAGATGAACAAAGTCGGTTTTGAGGCTTTTTCAGTGGACATAGTTTGTTCAAGCTACAGATCCTTGCAAAAGAAGTTATCCAGTAAACCTTTTTACTGTTGATTCATAGTGCGATTCGCAAGGACAGAAGAAATCACAAGTTTGACGTAATTTTTCAAAATAAGAATGAATCTCATAGATCAAAGGCAGGGATTTGACGCTCGCAATATGACACGGGATCATAGTAACAGAAAGCTTTTCCCCAACAATTGTTTTTTTCTGGATTTAAGTTTCCTTCGTAATATTTTAATAAATGCGGAAAGAGGAAGGCTAGTCAAATCTAATCATGCAAAATAAAGTACATAACTCCTAAGGCTTGGGTCGTAGATAACAAGTCATCGCGTGGCGTGATTAAGTGCGTGTTAAACACGAAGGGATTACCTAAGGAAAAAAAACATTTTCAGACCCTTATTAAGTGTAAGCAGTGTGAGGGAAGGGCCGGAGTTGAAGGAGGTGGCTTTATTCTAATCTCAACTTAACTCCCATTGTGGATAACGACAGCTCGGCAAAGATCACACGCCCGAAATCAAGATGTTTCTGTTTAAAAAAATATTTTTTGTGATCGAAGAAAAACATTTGACCTCTTTCATGCTGTTCATCAGCGTTTCTCCGTCTATCCACGTCTTATTAGATCTGCACAGTCCTTTGCCAGTAAGAGGCTGCGAGAGTGATTTGTTCT